TCTAGCTTATTTAGTGGACATTTCCTGTCTGGCTCCAGAGTGTAGCTTATTTAGTAGACATTTCCTGTCTGGCTCCAGAGTGTAGCTTATTTGGCAGACATTTCCTGTCTGGCTCCAGAGTCTAGCTTATTTAGCAGACATTTTCTCGAGGATCAATGACCCAAGTTTATTGCTTCAATACAACAGTTTTCAACATGTAAGACAGAGATAAATCTATGATAAAGATGTTTACAGTTCTGCGAAAGGTGTTTGGAAAACAACCAAACTGAGTGTTTCAGTATTCTTCACGACTTCCTGACACAAAGTGAACTTTGGTTAGATCAATGAACTAAAACCAACATAACTGCTCACCTAAAAGGATTTTGCACAATATTCAGGGAATATCGGATGGTAATAACTGGATTCACAACCCCTTTGATGATACCACTTTCTCATCACAGATATCGAGCACGGAGGAAAAAGAGAAATTGATTGAGATATCCTGTGATTACGAACTGAAAATGAGTTTCAGAAATCTGTCATTGATCAACTTTTAGCTGAGTTTAAGAAGCAAGTACCCTCCGCTGGCAGAAAAAGCTAATACAGTTTTGTTACTGTTTTCAACAACATACTTGAGCAAGAAAGCATTTTTCTTGTATGCACATCTAAAAACCAAATACAGAAGCAGACCCAAGACTTTATCTTTCTTCGGTGATTCCAGACTTCCAAGCAAGTGCATCCATCACATTATAAGACTCCTGATGAGAAATGGAAAGGTGAGGGGGTTATTTTTTGCTGTTTTTAAAATTAAATAGACTGCTAGTGTTGTATTTAAAATTAAGATGAAGAACAAGTTTAGGCTTAATCAAAGTGAAAGAAGTTACGAAGGTGAAATCTTCGAAGAATGTTGCTGTTTTCATAATGTAATGATAAATAGTGTGTAATAAATAAAAGTGTCATAAAAAACAAATTTTATATTTCCAAGATCAATATTTTTATAATTTATACTCAGGTAAGGGAGAAAATCTCTGGAAAATATTTATTTTTAGGAGGGGGTTCACGAGATTTGGCATTTCTATGAAAGGGATGCACGGGATGTTAAAGTTTGGGAACCACTGGAATAGGACAAGGTGAGCTCACAATAAGCGCATACATTGTGTTCTTCAAAAGTTTCTCCCCCACTGACGTATGCTCCCCCACTTACCATAGTAGCAACAGCAGCAGCAACTGACCCACCACCTGGTGCTGGTGATCGTGCAGCTACTGCTTCGACAAAGTCTTGCACAGTTTTCTTAGCCAGAGGACCCACACGTTGGTCAGGAAGCATATATTCAATTATTTTCTCTTTTGGATTAAAAGGGCCTAACGAGTTTAAACCCAGCCTGTTGATAGCCTAAATGGGGTAAAAAAAATTGTGAATTTTATGATACAAAAAACCTGTTTTAATCCCATCGTATCATCAATACATATCACACTAAAGTAATCATTTAATGAAACAGCATACACTCTGAAAATGTACTTGAAACGACATTAATGGAACACTAAAGTAATCATTTAATCAAACAGCATACATTCTGAAAATGTACTTGAAACGACATTAACGGAACACAAAAGTAATCATTTAATGAAACAGCATACATTCTGAAAGTGTACTTGAAGCAACATTAACGTAACACTAAAGTAATCATTTAATGAAACAGCATACATTCTGAAAGTGTACTTGAAGCAACATTAATGGAACACTAAAGTAATCATTTAATGAAACAGCATACATTCTGAAAGTGTACTTGAAACGACATTAATGGAACACTAAAGTAATCATTTAATGAAACAGCATACATTCTGAAAGTGTACTTGAAACGACATTAATGGAACACTAAAGTAATCATTTAATGAAACAGCATACATTCTGAAAGTGTACTTGAAACGACATTAACGGAACACTAAAGTAATCATTTAATGAAACAGCATACATTCTGAAAGTGTACTTGAAGCGACATTAATGGAGAGATATTGATCTTCATAACATAAAAAAAATTAATAATCTCACATTAAGTTTGCAAAATGTGTCAGATTTTGATAATAAAACAAGATGTATACTGAAATAGAAATTAAAATTAGACACAACTACAAGCTATATTATCTGAACTAAGTTTCACAGATGGTACGAAATAGTTACTAAGGTTTCCATGAACAAGCGTACTGTTTAAAACAGAAAATCTTCATGATTATGTTTTAGTATGTGACTGTTAACATCAAGAATATGCAAGCCTCTTAATAGTATATTTACTACTTACAAGATGTATTTTTTGATCTTCTTCCAGCACAAATAGGTTTTCCTTCTCAATGTAGTATTCTGCAGCTTGCAACATGGCACGCAATGGAACCAAGCCAACAATCTGGGACCCAGTTACTGGTAATCTCAATTCTCGAGCGTCTTTACACACCTACAAATATGTTTACACAACTATACAACCTGTTAAATTGTAGCTGAAAATGGTCCAAATAATGTAGTTATGTCTCTAAAACCTTTTATATATATGTATGTGCGTGTGTTAATTTCACGCACACACACACATACTTTGAATTTCCCGAGTACTGCAATAGCTCTATACAATCAAGTTTTTAAATAATAATTCTGAGTTCCAGTTGGGGTGAAAAAAATCAATTTTAAGATTTAACTAATAGAAACCTATCAAATTCCAGCAGCTCTAAGAATGATTAAATCATATAAATTACAAAAAAGCATTTGTTTCTTTTGAAACATATCTTTACAATATGAGAAGCATACAAAATGATATCATTTATCGATTTTTTTTTCAAAAAATTGCATAAATATGTTACAAGTGAAAAGAATTAGCAGCAAATAGTAAATATGAGATAATTTAATGTTTTGATATTAATGCAGCAAAGATATAGATACAGTGATAAGTTCACGTATGAATCATGTTTAATCATCATATAAAGTTAACTAAGCTTGCCTAATACAACTGTCAAAAAACACTTATCAGAACCAATAAAGTTGTTTTTTGCAGTAACCAAACGTAAATCTTCACGTTTTTAAATACATCCCTTACAATTCACACACTTAACATTTACAAGTTGAACTTCATTAACTGATGATATTGTTGTAACATGATTTATCATTGGGTGGGTTGTTTTGGTACAGGCTACATTCACTCTGATGCAAGTTGTAGGCCTAAGTTCACAAACAAACTATTCAAAATAACTCTGAAACTACTGTAGGCTTAATACACTAAATAAAGTAGGTATTCTAGAATTACTTTTATGAACTTACCTAATCTTAATGTTATGTTCCCTCTAGAAAACATCTAAATTAAAACAATGAAAATATAGCTTACAACAATATTCACTTTTTAAAGTATTTTCATTATAACATTTTGAATACTCTTTATAGGCCAAATATCCACTTAATAAAAAGACAGCATTTCTACTCATTTCCTCTTCAGAAATATCTTTTAAAAGCATTTGGACTATCAGGGTGTTTGATATAAAATTTACTTACTTTTTAATCATACTTGTTTTCTTAATATCGTAACTAAAAAAAATCTTTTTGTTACTTACTGTAGCTAAAAAAAAAAATCTGATTCTGTCTAGAACTTTCTGGAAATCAAAGATTAAATATCATTCTGGGACATAATGTACTGTTATAGTATATTCTATAAGTGGGTGGGTCTTTTTAAATTAATTGCCAAATCCAATCCACATAACGGTAAAAAATAAACCTATTTCTTCAATAAATGTTTGCTACAGCCATTTTCACTTGTAGGCCTAATTTCAAATACACAAACTTTTCAACATAAACTCTGAAACAAAGGTAAGCCTAACTTATTTATAAGCTTACTTGTAGATTTCCACAGCTAAATGATTGGGTAACTGAACAGCAGAATAGACACGATAACTGTCACTTCTAATATCGAATTTAATCACTCATTGAATACTCAATCACTGATTACTCCACTAACACATCAACTGCTCATTCATTGACTTACTGCTTCACTTTATTTGTATTTATACTTTACTCATCTTCTAATCACTGCACAAATTTTCCAGATCATTACATCTTGAACCTTCTAGGAAGCAACTAATTAAAACATTGAAAATATAGGTTATAACAGTACGACCATTTAAAGAATCTAAAACCTTCCAGTATGTTCATGAAACTTTGATGTCTGAAAAACAGTTAACAGTTTCGAAATTTTTGTGCAAAGCTACACAAGGCACTACCCGTATATTACTGCCACTAATTTTGAATTAATCAACTACAGGGAAAGCAGCTAATCCAACCACTTCCCACTCTATGTGGTGCACCTCAAACCCAAAGAGAGAAGCACATTTTTTGTGGCAACAGGATCCAAACCATGAATCCTCGGATTACCAGACAGGACAGGCCACAACTGATTCATCATGTTAAGAGAATCCAGAACTTTCAGAAGAAGATTCTTTTAAAATGTAATTTTATTTCCTGTTTCTTAACAGCACTGTTATTAACAGAAATTTGATATCAACATGTTTGTAAGCCAGAAGGTATCCATTTGTCATCTAAAGTTAACATATCACATCACAGATACAAACAGGATGAATATAAAACTAACTTGTAAAAACTATATACATTATTAATCACAGTTACCTCCTCATAAGCTATGTGGATAGGAGTAACATCATGGTCCGTGATATTGAAGGACACTTGGGCCAAGTTGGCTTCGTCTAGCCACCATCCAATACCCTGGCAATTTTTGAGACGGCCTGGCTGTTAAAAAAGATTCAGAGATGCTACCTTAGCTTCTATTTCAAGAGAATTCAAACAGGTATTGCTAAAATAGGTTTCATAGTTAGACCATACTTAAAAATAGCAGTTTGACTTTTTTTTCCCTTATAACGATACAAATAAAATTTCATATTGGTCTCGAACATTTGGTTGAAAAGTATTCTGCTTCCAATAAAATTTATGTCTCTTTGTATTATCCACCTTTTATAAATAGACCAGAAATTTGATAAGGTACGGTAATAATGATTAGGACACTAAGAAAATAATTCAAACAGAATGTGCATAAAAATTACAGTTTAAATAGCTAAGAAGACACAACAGGTACTGAAGTTAAATTAAATCAGCTAAGAAGACACAACAGGTACTGAAGCTAAATTAAATCAGCTAAGAAGACACAACAGGTACTGAAGCTAAATTAAATCAGCTAAGAAGACACAACAGGTACTGAAGCTAAATTAAATCATAACTACATTACTTTAATATTTTGTGAAAAAGTAAACCGTCCTGAAGAAACAATCAATCAAACATTGACAATATTTTTTCCCTAACTACACGTACATTAAAAAACATGTCCGTGTTAATACACTAAATACAAGTATTCAAGTTTTTTAAGAATATAAAAGTAAGAATACTTACTTGTTCTGAATTCCTTCCTTGCTCCCTGATGTTTAATGCTATTCTATGAGCTTGTTCTTTAGTACTCAAGACATTAACATTGTATGCAATGAGAAATTTTCTGGCTCCACACATGGTTGCTCCCCATCTAGATACAAACTCGGAAGGACCATAGTCTGGTTTCCATTCGGGCTTCATGACCTGTACATACCAAGTATCTTTCATAAAGAGTGCCAGTGTCAGTAGCATTTTCTGAAATTTTCTACGTTAGAAAAGCTGAAGCTAAAATTTGAGTAATAATAGTCTTACAATATTGTCAAGTGTACTAACTTGAAAATTTAATGTAACGACACACCAAAAAGGCAACAGAAAATCTACTACAGAAAAATTACAAAAATTATAGACAATTCTAAAAAATTCTTTATTCAAATATTATACCTTTTCTGTTAATCCCTCGTATTCCCCCGCTCGTATTTGGGGCACAGTCTTTCTATAATCTTTTTGAGCAGCAAAGCCATAAAGGTAAACTATAAAAAAGATAATATATTAAATCATCCAGTCATTCAACTTGATTATGAAATAAATTATTTTACTCCTGCAAAACCTAGATATATGAAAATATCCACTTTTCTGAAAGATTCTATAAAGGGGTTTACTTCTAATCCTTTGGTTAAATCTACGAACATAATTAATCTGACCATGAATTTCCATTTCATAATTAAATCAAACTTATGCAAAAATTATTGGCATGCAAATTTCAATTTGATGTAAAACTGTACGTAAATCAAATACATAACAAGAAGTTTGTTAATAAAATTACATGTTTTGGTGAATAAAAACGTGTTATTGTTAAAATGTTTTAACCTTATCAGTACCATGCTGCAATTTTGAAGTTCATGTAAGAATCAACACAAAGGATGGAAGAAATAAGAAGAAAACAGGTGTTTGTGGGTTAGTCTGATGATGGTGTGATGATCAGCTGAAAGGTCCAACATGATCTCCGAGTCAACACTTCACAATTTGGGTGAATTCACAACAAAATAACCCTCCTTCAACAAATGATAAGACTAATTATGTTTACAAACTGGTCAAAGAGAAATTATTTACAAATAAGAATTTCACTTCTAAACATAATACTGAAAAGTCAATGAACAAAGAAACAAAAACAATCATGAAGTCTAGGCTAAGATGAACACCGTTACTATGAGTCAGACAAATACAGTCATGAAGTCCAGGCTAGGATGGACACGTTACTATGAGTCAGACAAATACAGTCATGAAGTCCAGGCTAGGATGGACACTGTCACT